AGGCAGAGCTACAGAGAGGCAGTGGCAGTGGCAGTGGCAGTGGCAGTGGCAGTGGCAGAGAGAGAGAGAGAGAGAGAGAGAGAGAGAGAGAGGTCTTCCATCCTCTGGTTCACTCCCCAGATGGCTGCAAGGGCAGTGAAGTAGGCAGGCATACAGGTTAAAATAGATTAGGTTTGTGAGCTGGAAGACCACGCCTTCGCCATGCCCCTGTGTGACCTCATGACCCTACCTGGCCACACCTGGGTGCCCACCAGCCAATCAGGTTAATTAACCACTTCCCTTTGGAAGAGGGTTAAAAGCCCTCTCTTCCCTGGCCCCTTGCCAGGAGTGGGCTGGCTATAGCCCTGTGCCTCCAGGGTGCATGGCCTTCAGGCCAACTGCCCTAGGCTTCCTGGCCTAGATGCTCCTCCATGTGGCTGGTTCCTGGTGCTCAATATGAACCCAGATTTACCTCTCTCTCTTAAATAAAGCTCTCATCTTTCTCACTAAATAAAAGCCTAAAGTCTACCATGCTGCCTCATTTATAGATGCTGGTATTTAGAATTCTTCTCTAAATATTAGGCAGGCTTATTAATATTGGGGATTTATTAGTAAGCATATCATATGGCACCCCAAATTCTGGTAACATATGTGGCATCCCACATGGTGCTTCTGGGGAACATTAAAGAGCCACATTTTGGAGTCATTCCTAATTTCAGCAGGAGCTAAGCCTATCCGAAGCCAGGAGCCAGGAGCTTCTTCAGGGTCTACCACATGGGTGCAGAGGCCCAAGGACTTGGGCCATCTTCTACTGCTTTCCCAGGCCATAGGAGAGAGCTGGATCCGAGAGGAGCAGCCAGGACTTGAACCAGAGCCCATAGGGGACACCAGCACTGCAGGCTGCTGCTTCACCCGATATGCCACAGCCCCGGCCCCTCCCTCATTTTTGAAGGGACATGAACCATCAGATGGAAGACCTCTCTCTCTGCCTCTCCTCTCTCTGTGTAACTCTGACTTTCAAATAAATAAATCAATCTTAACAAAAAAAGATTAACAAGAGAAAAGCAAAATATTTGTTTAAGCCAAGTTTTACATGACATCAGAAATGCAAAACTCAAAGATCCAGGAAAAGGGCCAGCACTATGGCGTAGCAGGTGGTTACGGCATCCCATAACACCAGTTCAAGTCCCAGTTACTTCACTTCCAATGATTAAAGTATCTGTACAATGGAGTCTTATTCAATAATAAAAAGGAATGAAGTATTGAAATATGCTAACACATGGGTAAACTTTGAAAATATTAACCAGGGTTGGAGAACCTTCTGAATCCAAAGGGCATTTGAATATTTATAACATAATTCATGCGTCATACAAAATTATCAACTTACAAATTAGCTTAATGTAGATTAACTGATTTTCAAGTCCTGCCTGTAGTTGCCTTGGTAGGACAAGATCAAAAGGTTTCATGGGCCATATATCCATGAGCCAGATTCCCCCATCTCTACTACATGGAAGAGGTCAGTCACAAAAGACTACAGACTGCAATTAATGTTCTTAAAATGTTTATAGAATATAAAGATCTATAGAGGCAGAAGGTAGATTTGTAGTTATGTAGAGCTCGGGAATAAGAGGGAAATGCAGAATGACTGCTAAAAATATAGGGTTTCATTTTTGGGATAATGAAAATGTTTCCTAATTGATTGTGGTCATAATTTTACAACTTTGTGCATAAACTAAAAACCACTGAATCTAGACTTTAAATGAATTAAATGTATAAAGAAAATATGACATACAAATTATAATCCAATAAATTTTTTTAAAAGGAAAAGGGGGTTACAGCACTGTGGTGTAGCAGGTTAAACCAACCCCTACAATGATGGCATCCCATATGGGCACTGGTTCTAGTCCCAGCTGCTCCACTTCCAATCCAGCTTCTTGCTAACACTCCTAGAAAAAGAAGCATAAGATTGCCCAAGTCCTTGGACCACTGCACCCATGTGCGAGATCTGGATGAAGCTCCTGGCTACTGGTTTTGGCCAATCATTGTGGCCATTTAGAGGGTAAATCAATGGATGGAAGATCTACTCTCTCCTTCCCTTTCTCTATACATTTGCCTTCCAAATAAATCTTAAAAAAAAAAAAAAAAAAGAAAGAAAGAAAGAAAGAAAGAAAGAAAGAAAGAAAGAAAGAAAAAAAGAAAAGAGGGGCCAGCATTGTGGTGTAGAGGGTAAATCTGCTACCTGTGACTCTGGCGCCAATTTGTGTCCTGGCTGCTCCACTTCAGATTCAGATTCCTGCTAATGGCCTGGGACAAACAGGGGAAGATGGCCTGAGTGTTTGGGCCCCTGCCATCCTTGTAGGAGACCTGGATAAAGCTCCTGGCTCCTGGCTTTGGCCATTGTGGCCATCTGGTGAATGAACCAGCAGATGAAAGATCTATTTCTTTCTCTAACTCTGCCATTCAAAAGAAATATCTTAAAATAAACTTAAAATTTTTCTAAAAAGTTTAAATAGGCAAATTATTATTATCGATAAAAATAATTAATTAGAAAAATAAAAAACTGAACAAAGCATTAAAATTAACAATTGGGGAAAACTGTTCCATAGAAGTTCAAGTAACATTCCTGTATTCTGGAAATATAATAGAAAATATATTACTTATTATAATACAATGTTATTTACAATAATATTTGTGTTAGAATCAATAAGGCCACTGAAGCCTAAACCCCTAAGCTCAATAAAACTAGTCAAAGGTAGATAAAAGGCTAGTAGAATGTTTATTGCTGGGGAAAGCCCCTTACCTGGGACATTCAAAATTGCTAAGACAATGCATTGTCCACTTTACCAAGAAGCTTTTCTTCAGGTCCGCCATCTACCTTATCAGGTTCCATATGGCTCTATGCGCCTCTCCCAAAAAGCTGCTTAAGAAGGGACTCTGCCTCTTGTTCAAACAGAATGAAACCTGGCTTCAAACCCCCTGCCCCGAATCCCCACTCTTTAACTCCCTTTCCACCCCCTCTAAAATAAACTCCTTTTTATTTTGACTAATTGCCTCGTTGCCTTCTTAGAACCCTAAAAATCCTAAAGCCTAACAAATTATTTTTAGGAATAAATCTAAAAAAACGAGGCAATGCAATTTTAGAGGAATTCACAAAACTTTATCCCATACAGAATCACAACTCTCTCAAAATTAAGTCATAGATTAAGTGTGGGTCAAATCTACTTTCTAGCTATTTTTCATTGAAGCTAATAAAATGATTCTTATTATTATAAAACAGTAAAGACACACATTTAGGGCTTATGAAGTAGACTTGTCTACCAAACTGTGAATCAACTTACAGAGTTACAGTATCCCAAACCATGAAAATAGTAGAAAGTCCAGAGATAAGCACGCATACATGTGGACACTTAAGAGATGTGAGAAAGATTAATTCACAAATCAATAAACTATTGAGTAAATGATGTGAAAATCATACTATAAAACGAATTCTAACTAAATACTTTAGGATAGGGAATACTTTAAAACTCATAAAGCATCATAAAGCAAAAACTTTAGAAAGTAATAAAATTGACTATTAAAATTCATACATCGTTGGAAGTCCAATTTACCTTATTCAAGATAGAAAAACATCACAGAAATAAAAGTTACAGCAAATCTAGAAATTATTATTTTGAATGGCATAAATAAGCACATGAAAATTATCACAAATAATCACATAGTTGTGAAACAACACAAAAAATGTTACCTTTATCACACTATCAAATTGTTTAAAGGTTATACAAAAATAGAAATGAACACCACACTGATATAAAACATCAAGAAAACAACTGCATTACAATTCAATCTTCTTTATGGTGTAGTCATTCCCTGATTGTGTACTAATTTCCTAATGTATTTCCTTAAATATATTCAATAAATTGATTCACATACTCAAAAAGATGCAGCTTCTTCTCTTAAATAGTTATGCACACATGCATACACACATATGACATATACATACACATTAAATGAGTATATTTGTTGGACAGTTACATATATATAAGCATTTATTTGTTATATATTCTTTTTAGGCACACAAAGAAAGATTACAATATGGTAAAAGAGAAACCTGAATTTTATGGGAAAAAATGTTGAGCAAAAAAACTTTTCAAGACAGAGGGTACCACAAAAATGTATGTTTTAAAAATACTAATATAAAAGAATATAAGCAGTTGTCCTGGACTAGCAGTTAAGATGTTGGTTAAGGTGCCTGTATTCATATGTGAATATGTGAATGCCTCGTTTCAGTCCTGAGTTCTAGTTAATGCAGACCCTGGAAGGCAGCAGAGATGGCTTATTTGAATGAGTTCCTGCACCCATATGAGAGAGGACTGAGTTCCCAGTTCCCAATTTTGGCCATTTCATGCATTTTGGGAGTGAACCAGTGGATGGCAGTTCTCTCTCCCTCTCTCTCTCTCTTGCAAATAAATAAATAAAAATTTTAAGAGGTAAGAATATTATAAAGATTGATGGTAACTTTCACCCTTCTATAAAAATAAAATTTTACTATGAATAAGAGCCTTTTAAAGTCAAACAAAACATAATTTTAGAACCACATTTGAGTATTTTAACTGTTTTGTGGGTTTTTTTTTTTTGCCATATTTTATTTTTTAAAGGGCCTAGAAAACATTCTTTACACTGCAATATTATCTAACTATATTTATAACCATAAGCTTGAATTAAAAAAACTCAAAATCCCTGACTCTAAATATATTTTTTCAAAACACATTTTATTTCAAAATGCAACAGCCTTTATTTTTTAATGATTACGTTTTAGGATAACTATTTGAAGTCAGTTTCCTGCTTTGCAGCATCAATTTTTAAAAAGCTGTGGGTCTTAAGTGAAAGAATATAAATTAATGCTAGTCCCCACTGGTGGATTTGAATATATAACTTATTACTTAAAGAAAATAGTATGTCTTAAACTTCCTATACGAAGTGAGAGCCAAAACAGCAGTGTGGATTCCATGCTCATTCTATACCTTTATTTTTGCTTCAGTGCTGTGTTTTTCTTTTCTCCAATGTGTTTCCTGCTTCCTCAGTTTCTCCAGGTCATTTAGCAGGTCAGTGCAGCGGATATTTAATTTCTCATTTTCCTCCTCCAGATTTTTTATAACCAGTCTATTTTGTTCTTCTTTATTCTGTACACGCTCCTTAGCGTCCTGTAGAACAGTACCACAAGGGCCAATAAACAAAATAAAACCAAAAACCAAAAAAAAAAAAAAAAAAAAGGTGAGAACTAATCAGCAAATATAAACTGTGCAGTTTTACCCTCACAGCAGCTTCTTCTATATTTGATGGCCAAGGTCACCTGTGTACTTTTATTGGCCTCTTTTCATGCAGGTGGATGGGTCATATTTTTTCACTGGATGACAGCTTTGATGAGTACACATTTGCAAAGAGCCCATTAATTGATCAAGCTGCCTTTGATGCTGTCCCCAGCTATTTTTGAGACCCACACAGACATATCCTCCCAGACCTGGGTTTTATCAATTAATAATGCCAGTCCCATCAGAATCTAATTACAAGAAGCCACATATTCACACTCCTACTTTCTTAGCTCCATTTCCATCATTAACTATTTATCTGGAAGTTATAAAGCTTAGAGTCTTAGCTTTAAAGCATCTTTATCAGAGTTTTTGCATGTGTGAAAAACTGTATGGTACAGCAGGGCCTAAGGCAATTTTTCCTCTAAGCCTGTCACTTTCTGTGCCACAAAGGCTGACAAAGCTTAAAGCAGGACTTCAAAGCAACAGTCCTATAAAACTGTGTACAAGTCAACACACCTTAACTTCTTGACTTTTATCTTTAAATTTCTTCTGCAAGTTGCTGAATTCTTCCCTTAAGAAAGCATATTCTTCATCTACTGCAATCTTCTTCTTTACAAGGTCATTTATTTCCTGCTTTAGTACTGATTCTCTCTGTGGAAAAAATTTAAATTATTGGTGAGCTGGTATTTCCAAGAAAAAATTATTTTAAGTTTTAGATTTTAACTGCTCATATCAGAATTAGCTAGCTTTCATACTAATATTTTCCATCATAATTATCATTTCCTGTGATATGTCCATGGATTATGAACAAATATGTGCAAGTAGGGTCCCTATTCATTAGTTCCAAATGAAGAACACAAAAAGCTTTACAGTAAATAGGCCACATAATTTCAGAACTTAGGTACATAATACGAGTAAACAAAAATTTATCAGGACACTCTAATACAAAAAAAGCCTTATAGCCAAAAGAAGAATTATTTATTCTATTATTTCAATGTCATTTGGAAAACTTTTTTTTTGAGAAATAATTACGGTTTTCAGAAGGCATAAATCATTTCAAAGAATAGAAAATGGCAATTTTATTGGTACTAACATTCTTATGCTATTGCCAAAATACTGAGACTACTAGAATTTTTAACTGAATAATCTGCTAAGAGGCAAGAAATAATTAAATGATACCTAATTGGTGGATGTACCCATGACTTAATTCTCAGCTTCCCTCTTTTCTCTTTACAGCTTTCTCACAGAAAATTTATCCTCTCTACTATCTTCTAGTCTTACTTCCAGTCCATAATCCAGCCTTGAATTTTCCAGTTACCAATCTCACATTTCTTTTTTTAAATACTTTTTAAAATTTTTTATTTATTTATTTTTTGACAGGCAGAGTTAGACAGCGAGAGAGAGACAGAGGGAGAGAGTTACCGACAGTGAGAGACAGAAAGAAAGGTCTTCCTTCCGTTGGTTCACTTCCCTATTGGCAGCCACAGCAGGCGCCGCGACAATCCAAAGCCAGGAGCTGGGTGCTTCCTCCCGGTCTCCCATGCGGGTGCAGGGACCCAAGCACTTGGGCCATCCTCCACTGCCCTCCCAGGCCACAGCAGAGAGCTAGACTGGAAGGGGAGCAACCAGGACTAGTACCCGGCACCCCAACCAGGACTAGAACCCGGGGTGCCGGTGCCGCAGGCAGATTAGCCTAGTGACCAAGGCACTGGCCCACCAATCTCACATTTCTAACTTTCTGTTCAATACCTACACTTGGATGGAGGGAGAGGAGGATGAAGGGAGAGAGAAAGAAAGGCTGAAAAGAATAAACAAATCCTTTGAGACTTAATAGTATACAATGAAACTAGGAACTATTAATTCACATTACAGGTATTTCAGAAGAAGAAGAGAAAATAAAATGCACAGAAAACTATTTAATGAAATAATTGCTGAAAATTTTCAAAATCTTGGGAAAGATAAAGACATCTAGATGCTACCTTCCAATAGGTATTATAGTCAGACTCTGTAAAATACAAGAAAAAGAAAACTCTAAAATCAGCAAGAGAGAAGTGCCAAGTCCGTTATATAAAGGAAGCCCCATTAGACTGACAGCAGACTTCTCAGCTGAAGCCTTATAGAACAAGAGAGAATGAAATGAAATAGTCAGTCTTGAAAGAAAAAAATCACAGCCAAGAATACTATGTTCAGTAAATAAATACTTCCAAAATGAAACAGAAATAATGATCCTCCATGAAAAGCAAAAACTGAAGGAACTTGGGTCTGGTGCTGTGGCAAAGCGGGTAAAGCCTCTGCCTGCAGTGCCGGCATCCCACCAGTTTGAGTCCCAGCTGCTCCACTTCCGATCCAGCTCTCTGCTGTGGCCTGGGAAAGCAGTAGAAGATGGCCCAAGTCCTTGGGCCTGTGCACCCACATGGGAGACCTGGAAGAAGCTCCTGGCTCCTGACTTCAGATCGGCACATATCCAGCAGTTGCAGCCAACTGGAGAGTGAACCAATGGATGGAAGACCTCTCTCTCTCTCTTTCTCTCTCTGCCTCTCCTTCTCTCTCTGTAACTCTGACTTTAAATAAATAAATCTTTAAAACAAAAACATTGTATATTCCCTTCTATTATTATATATAGTGGCAACAGCTATTTTATGAAATTTTTATCTCATGTATGTATACCGGATCATGAAATAACATGTACTTCTTTCAGTGAGGAAATCATTAAGAAAAATTTTAAACAACACTTGTCCAGACTCTATACATTTAGAGGTGAAATTTTTGTATCATTGGCTATAGGTATTTTAAGATTTACAATCCTTTCACATCACCACTAACACACAACTCTCACACTTACAAATGTTTTACAAATCCAGTAAGAATAAATGGCATGTCCATATAAATTTAATTATTCCCTGTTTTAATTATTGGCCATAACAAAATTTGCCTGACATCAATCAAACAGCATCAGAATAGCTACATTAAAATGACACTCCATGTCAATTTGTAAAGTCAACAACAGGAGTCACTGTGCACTTACTCCTCATGTAGGATCTCTGTCCTTAATGTGCTGTACACTGAGGCTTAATGCTATAACAAGTACTCAAACAGTATATTTCACTTTGTGTTTCTACGGGGGTGCAAACGATTGAAATCTTTACTTAATGTACACTAAACTGATCCTCTGTCAAAAAAATAAAAAAAAAAGAAAAAAAAGAAATTATCAATTCCCAACTTGACTCTCACTGGGATTAAACATGACAATAGGTCTCATCTGATTTCATCATCATTTAAAAAAATCATCTATTATTTTTCACTTTATGTTTCTGTGTGGGAGCAAACTGTTGAAATCCTTACTTAAGGTATACTAAGCTGATCTTCTGTATATTAAGAGAATCGAAAATGAATCCTCATGTGAATGGAAGGGGAGAGGGAGTGGGAAAGGGGAGGGTTGTGGGTGGGAGGGACGGTATGGGGGGGGGAAGCCATTGTAACCCATGAGTCGTACTTTGGAAATTTATATTCATTAAATAAAAGATAAAAAAAAAATGACACTCCATAGGCTAATCCTCCGCCTTGCGGCGCCGGCACACCGGGTTCTAGTCCCAGTCAGGGCACTGGATTCTGTCCCAGTTGCCCCTCTTCCAGGTCAGCTCTCTGCTATGGCCCGGGAGTGCAGTAGAGGATGGCCCAAGTCCTTGGGCCCTGCACCCCATGGGAGACCAGGAGAAGCACCTGGCTCATGGCTTCGGATCAGCGCGATGCGCCAGCTGCAGCACGCTGGCCACAGTGGCCATTGGAGGGTGAACCAACGGCAAAAGGAAGACCTTTCTCTCTGTCTCTTTCAATATTCAGCTTCCACACCCTCCATAAACCTTCTCCAACTATTCCAGTATTATGTAACGACTGCCATTTCAAATTGTCTCTATTAACTACATTACTCATTGAACACATTTTACCATGTTGTTAATTATCTTCCTACATACTTAAACTATCTCCTATACTAGATTAGTAAATGTTTAAGGATGACTTGACACTGAATAATAAACTGAATGATGTAAACAATAAGACCCTTTATAAAATATCTATTGGCCCACCCCTTGAAAAATAAATGACAACATTTGAGTTTCACTCTTCTATTCTGTAGACTAATTTATATTCTAGGAAGGAGAGAATACTAACCACCTGAAGTTTCAGAAAGGTTTTCTTCCCATTAAAGTGAGCTAAATTTAGTAAGCACTGACAATATAAATGACACCAATAGCAAGTTCTATCATGAGAATTAGTTAATAATTTAAAGTTTATCATTTAAATTAACTTTGTAATTTTACAAAGACAAACAGAACTAATGTGTAGGCAAAAAAAAGCATATTAAGGTGGTAATTGGCTAATCAAAACTTCATATTGGTATAATGAAGTTGACAAGTTTGATATTATTGTCCACAACCATTAAAGCAATAAATTATAGTCACTCCCAATACAAGAGGATTGATAAATCAAACTTTCAAAAAATTTTGTATAATTCAACACTTTTTCCTAATAAAAATACCCTCAATGAAGCTTTTTAAAATGGAAGCACAAGTTTATACAATTAAAGTTCACTTTAAATTTCTGCTTTATGAAATTTTTTAAAAAGTCATTTATTTCAGAGGCACACAGGAAGAGAGGCAGACAGACAGACTCAAAGAGAAGGCAAAAGAAAGAGAGAGACACCCCATCCACTGGTTCATTTTCCAAATCCCTTCAATGGCTGTGGCTAGGTTAGGGCCAAAGCTGGAGCCAAAAACTCAATCCTTGTCTCACACATGGTGGCAGGAGTTCTATCACATATGTCATCACCTCTGTTTCTCAAGGTCAGCATAAGCAGGAAACGGGAACCAGGAGCTAAGCAGGGCATAAAATCCAGGCACTCCAATGTAGGATGCAGACATCACAATCAACATCTCCACCACTAGGCCACACCCCACCCATATGGGACATTTTCAGCAAACCAGTCTGGATACAGTAAATTCTTAATGGTCTGGTTTGAATTAGTATTAAAACAGCAAAACGGAAATTGAGGAACCATAAAACATAACAAGAGAAAGTGTGTCTGGAAAAATAATTTATTATGGATAAGCCATGAAATGAATAATTCAAATAATGGTCAAGAGAAGTATACAGAGTAAGAAGAGAATAATAGTAGGTATGAAGCGAAAATTAAAAGTAGAGGAGGGGAACAGCATATGACCTAAAGCTCTATCAGGCAGTACTTGAGTAAAGTTAATTATTTATACTGACCTAGTTTTAAAATTGACCTGAGGCCGGCGTCGTGGCTCACTAGGCTAATCCTCCAGCTAGCGGCACCGGCACACCGGGTTCTAGTCCCGGTTGGGGCGCCGGATTCTGTCCCGGTTGCCCCTCTTCCAGGCCAGCTCTCTGCTGTGGCCAGGGAGTGCAGTGGAGGATGGCCCAAGTCCTTGGGCCCTGCACCCCATGGGAGACCAGTAGAAGTACCTGGCTCCTGCCATTGGATCAGCGCAGTGCGCCAGCCACAGCGCGCCGGCCGCGGCGGCCATTGGAGGGTGAACCAACGGCAAAGGAAGACCTTTCTCTCTGTTTCTCTCTCTCACTGTCCACTCTGCCTGTCAAAAAAATTGACCTGAAAGTATTAATATAAAATAGAGAAGTAATAAAAACAGAACAACTAAAATAGAGGTATAGGAGTAAAGAGAAGGAGTAATAAAACTAATGGCAACTGAAAACCAAGAGTTATTATTGAACTTCATGGAGGGGAAGAAAAAACAGAAGTATAATGACTAAAAGCAGTAATCATCTAATTAAATACAATATACTAAATTATCAAAAGTCATGTTATATAATACAAGGGAAATTTTTAAAAAGATTTATTTGAAAGGCAGCGTTACAGAGAGAAAAGGAGAGACACAGAGAGAAAGAGATCTTCCATCTGTTAGTTCACTCCAAAATGGCAGCAATAACTAGGGCTGGGCCAAGCCAAAGTCAGGAGCTTCATCCTGCTCTCCCACAAGGGTACAGGGGCCCAAGTACTTGTGCCATCCTCTTCTGTTTTCCCAGGAGTATCATTAGGGAGCTGAATCAGAAGTGGAGCAGCCAGGACTCAAACTGTTACCAAACTGTTGTTAGCATACCAGGCAGCAACTCAACCCACTATGCCACAATGCCAGCCCCCAGGGAAATTTTTATATAACTAATAGTGACAAAGCTAAAGCATAGACTTACCAGAAGAAGTTGTATGGAATTCTACCTCCAAACTACCTTAGGATTTTTGCTCCACATAAACTTTCCTGGTTCTGCATTCTGCATCTTTTTTTTATGAAATTTTAAAAAAAATTTTTAAAAAATTTTAAAAAATTTTAAAAAAAATTTCATAAAGCAGAAATTTAAAGTGAACTTCAACTGTATAATGTTCTACATCTCTCTATCTCCCTTTCTCTCTCTCTCTCTGCAATCTCCATTCCCTTGAGCCATATTATTGCATAGCTTTGTCAGACTTAAATATTTTAAGATTTCATGTGCCATGTTCTTTCATTACTTTCTAAAATTACTTAAAATCTCATGGCTGCTTAAATTTTTTTGCAAATATCCCATCTTTTTATAGCATTTTATATCAGCCACCTTTTGCTTCTTAAAAGTCTTTTATTCTCAATTTATGAAATATTAAGGGAGCTTTTCTTTCCATACTTCCCTAAACAGTCTTTTTATCACTAAAATTTTTCTTTTCTCTCATCTATGCATAACATTGCCAAATATCTTATTGTCAAAATTTCTTTAAAGTCATCCCTCTAACTGTATAACATTAAATGTCTATATCTCAAGGTCAAAACTGCTTCCCAAGGGTCAGATTCATGCTTCCAATAGTTTGTTAAAAATCTATAAAGTGAATTTCCATCTGCAACTAAAACACAAACTGTCTTAAAGAAGCTCAACATTTTACTCTCAAAACAAGCTATGCTCCCTGTTAATAACCCTCTTTTTGATAATAATGTCACTGTTTTTCTGGTTTCTCCAGACTGAGAACCCTAAGAGTCACTTTCAATCTACTATCAATTCCCAATGGTTTCATTTATACACCTTTAATCCAAACAAACCTAATTAATTCAAGTCTATGAAATAAGCTCCTAACAGATCATTTCAATAAACACTAATCTCAAACCATAGTCTGTATATTATCAATGAAACAAACTATAAATTTCAATATTACTCAGACATACCCTAAACTCCTGTCTTCATGATTCTTGCCCAGTACTCACCCTGGGTAAACCTTCCTAGAATCTCTACCTATAGCAGCTGGTTTGAATACTTTAAGACCCCATCACTGAGTTTAATTTCTCCCTGTTCTGAGTCTTTGTTGCATGGCACATAGAATTTATCATTGCTATCTGGATTCAATCACATACTCAACAATTTCAATGAGTACCTATGGTGAGTCAGGAAGTGTGCTAAACATTAGGTGTTCAGTATACAAGGGTCAATGAGAAAAAAAAAAACACCAACCCAAATATAAGAAATAAACTAGTGTTAAGAAAATCAGTATTTGCATCTTATTTTTATTCTACTCTACTCCTAAACGGTTTTTGAGAATTATTAAAGGCAAAACCGTAACTGAATTTTCTACAGGATGATTAAACACATTTAATACAACATGTTATTGTACCTAACTGAAAATACATCTAGTGAAATGTTATATCAATCACTGCACAAAAATGTATATAATTTAAGAAATTTGGGGCTCCCTAAAGAACAAATAATTTATTTTAAAAATTTAATATTTTACATAAAAACACAATTCTTCTTAAAAAAAGTAAATATTGTAATGATTTCTATCCAAGAGAGATATAGCAGTAAAATAATCAGTAATAGGGAAAATTCACTGCATTCAAGAAAATCAACATTTTTTAATGGTATGCTACATTTTAACTTGGATTCTGGCAAACTGAACTGCATTCACTAAAGCACTGCACATTTACTATAATAACATATTAAAAGAGTATCCAAACCCACTCTCTTTCTCTGTAGAACAATACCATTAAATGAGGAAGGGGCTGTTCAGCCTACAACTACATTTTCCCCAACCTCTGATTCTTGACGTTTTTCCAGTACAATGTGACTGCAAATTACATTGTCACTTGTGAGTTACAATATTGTAAGGTAGCTTAACCTAGTCTATTTCTTTTTGGGGGGGGGGGACAGGCAGAGTGGACAGTGAGAGAGAGAGAAACAGAAAGAAAGGTCTTCCTTTTGCCATTGGTTCACCCTCCAATGGCCGCCATGGCCAGTGCACTGTGGCTGGTGCATCGCACTGATCCGAAGCCATGAGCCAGGTGCTTCCTCCTGGTCTGCCATGTGGGTGCAGGGCCCAAGTACTTGGGCCATCCTCCACTGTGGAGGATTAGCCTATTGAGCCGCAGCGCCAGCCAACCTAGTTTAATTAATACACTGGGCATGTGGCAATATTTATCTTAGAATGTACTGGATATTGTTTGAGACTTAGATGCCAAATAAAATTTTTTTTTTACAAAATGAATAAATTCTATCTTTAAAATGTTATGATTATTGTACCAAACAATTCTGGAGAAGGTAGTGCATTTTAACTGCATATTGGAATGCATATTCCATTTTAGAAAGAATTTGATGTGTACAGAAAATGAAAAAAAAAAAACGTGGATTAAAGTTAATGTCTCCTTTTAGTCCTTTAATAGAACAGCTTTATAATGATAATCAACTTTAGATCAAAGTTCTCATTATTGTTTAATTGGTTAGACAAAAAGATAGAATCTTTCCCTACTGAAACCAGTTTGAATACTTCAATACCTCATCAGAAAAAAATCCAGACAAAAAATCCACTTAATCCAGAAAAAAAAAAAACTAAATTACAGCTAATTTAATCTATAATAAAATTAGATATAAAATAAATTTAAATATTATACAATGACACAGGCCATTCTTAGAAAATTTTTTTCACTTCAGTTGTTAAGATATTTATACCTGGCCTGTGCCGCAGCTCACTTGAATAATCCTCTGCCTTCGGCGCCGGCACACCAGATTCTAGTCCAGGTTGGAGTACCGGATTCTGTCCCAGTTGCCCTTCTTCCAGGCCAGCTCTCTGCTGTGGCCCGGGAGTGCTTGGGCCCTGCACCCGCATGGGAGACCAGGAGGAAGCACCTGGCTCCTGGCTTCAGACTGGCGCAGCGCCGGCCATAGCGGCCATTTGCGGGGTGAACCAATGGAAGTAAGACCTTTCTCTCTGTCTCTCTCTCACTGTCTAACTCTGTCAAAAAATAAAAATAAAAAAAAAGATATACCATAAAAATGGGACCTGTAAGCAATGAACACATGCATTTTTGCCATGATAATATACTGATTATACAATCACAGATCATTTTACATATGTATAATTTCATATGTATCATTATGAATAATTATATGTTATTTTATAATTTACTGACTACACATAAAAGATAGGACCATACTAATTCAAAAACTCAACGGAATCATTCCAATTATTGTTGAATTTTTCTACAAATGAAAATAATTTGAAAATTTACAAGTTTCAGAAATGAGCAATGCTTTCTAATAATAAAAGGCAAAGTTCAACAAAACAATGAGTTAATAGCTAGATATTACTCTAAAATTGTAACATTACCTTAAGAATTTTTAATGTATAAACATCATACTCTATTAATTCAGAAAACAAAGAACAGGCTATAAGCCAAGTATAATAATGAAAATAAAATAACTACAATGATTTTGAGATACTAACACTTCAACACAGCAATCCTAACATTTTTAATACTCATATTGGCAAAATAAGAACTTGAAATAATTTTAAAAATCTACAACCTGAAACAAATATAGAAATTTTATTATAATACCAACCTGTTCCAATTCTTGTATTTTAGCATCCTTGACTTGCAGAATTTCTAGAACTTTTCTATCCTTATATTCAGATTTCTGCTTTTCTCTAAAAACAAAAAATATATATATTGAGAGTTTATTAGTCAAAACTGGTAGTCATGCATTTAAATTGTTACCTCCTGATAAGGAATATCACTTTAAAATATGAGCCTAGAAAATTAAATCATCTTGGGCTGACAGCCCTTTCAGAATTAATCGGAACCATATGGCAAATGACAGCAACTTATAAGTGCTGACAACTAAGACAACTTCATACTAAAAGACAATTTAGTTTCCAGATTTAGATATATGATAAGAAATACATAAAACATGGTTTTGCTTAAAGTTGCTTGAAATAAGCATAATGTCATCACTTGGTGACATAAGCATTTTATACACACACTTATGTTAAGGATAAAATACTACCATTTTTAACGCAAGAGTCCAAAGGAGAAGGGCCAGAGATTTACTAATAATCAATATCCATGACTGGAAGTTTTGCATTTTAACACCTTCTTATACTTTTAATTCATTGAAAGTACCACTAAATAAACTGAAGTGGAGTTGTAAAACCAAAGCCATCATTCTCTGGGAAACATAAAAATCACAAAATTTATAAATGAGTAACTCCTAAGATTAAACAAATGTAACTTTAAAAAGGAAAAGGAAGAGAAGAAAGAAAAGAACAGAAATCTTAAAATGATTACACAATCAGGCTGACATTGGTTAAATTACATAAAATAATGAGGGGATATTTATTGGACACTGATTCATATTTTTAAAAAACCTTAGAGGTTCCAACATGGCAGAATAGAATCAGGATGGTCTGATTTACATGGGACGAAATTTATATATAAATAAGGAGAGAGAGTGCACTCTCAGGATAAAGCTGCAGGACAGCTGCAGTGGGGAGACCCTGACAGGGTAGTGGAGGTGGTCTGGACCCATGCTGAAAGAGCAAATACACAACAGAAGTCCCAGGGACTTGGATCTGGGGAAGAGGAGGCCCACCCCAGCAAGCCAGGTGAGAGGGGATTCCACAGGCCCAAGGCACTGCTGATGTAACGGGAGGGAGAGCTTAGTGAACTGCTTTTGGAGTTCCACATGGATCACTCACTACAGCAGGCCACCAATTGCCCAGAAGCAGGAAAAAATATTTTTAAAAAAGGTTGTGCTTCACTCTCCCTCCCCACCTCCCCACTACAGTTGAAACATGTGGCCAGTTGGGGGAGACCTGATACCATTTTTGGATACAGGTAGGGGGCAGCCGCCCCAGCTCCCGAGTCAGTTGTACCACCCTAGTTGCCCTGTGATGGGAGGGGAAGGAGGGAGGAACCCCTATGGAGGGGAAGTGTTGCTTGTGGGAGTCTCCAACCAACGGAGCACAACTGAGAAGAGCCAGCAAGGCTGCAATGAGCAGATACTTTGCGCATCTGTGAACTAGAGATCTAATCCGAGAGCAAAAAATTCCAAAATGCTGAAAAGTAAAGGCAAAATTCAAAAAACAAGAATAAGGAAGACACAATGAGTCACCCAAAGGAACACTACAACATTTCAACCAAAGACTGTGAGGATGAAGAGATTGAGGAAATGTTAGAAATGGAACTAAAAAAACGAATCATTGGATTACTCAGAAGCAATCAGAAGCAAATTCACTACCTAAAGAAAACTATATGATATGAAAGAAAATTTTTCCCATAAAACTGAGATTAAAGAGAAACCAAATTATAATACTAGAATTTTTAAAATAGATCAAATAAAAATTGCAGTGCAAAGTCCTAAAAACAGAGTTGGTGAGGTAGAAGAAAGAATATCCAAGGTAGCAGACAAATCACTGGAAATTCTACAGTAAGACCAAAAACAAGAAGAAATTACAAAACTAAAAAACACAGTTGGAGACCTACAGTATACTATCAAATGACCCAACATACGAGTATTAGGAGTACCTGAAGGCATGAAAAGAGAGAAAGGATGAGGAGGCCTTTTTTAGTGAAATAATAACAGAAAACTTCCCTAATTTGGAGAAAGAAAGAGATATCCAAGTACAGGAAACATATAGAACTCCCAACAGAAAGGACCAGAAAAGATCTTCAACACAACACATTGTAGTCAAACTCTCCACAGTAAAACATAAAGAAAAGACTCTAAAATGCACACAAGAGAAATGCCAGATCACTTTCAGAAGATCTCCAACTAGACTCACAGTGGAATTCTCATCAGAAACCCTATAGGCTGAGAGAGAATGACAAGAAATATTTCAAGTCTTAAGAGAAACAAACTGCCAACCCAGAATACTGCATCCTGCAAAGCTCTCATGTATTAATGAAGGTGAAATAAAGACCTTTCATAACAAACAGAAATTGAAAGAATTTGTCCAGCCTTACAAAAGATGCTTAAGGATGTGATACACAGAAACAAAGAAACATGGTCATCACTACAAAATAATGAGAAGGCAGAAAATCTCCAAGCAAAATTAAAAAGGAAATCCAAAGTAAAAATATAGGAATGTTTATGGAAAAATGGCAGGGATAACTCATCACTTATCAATAGTCACCTTGAATGTAAATGTCTTCAACTCACCAGTTAAAAGAAACAGACTGGCTGAATGGATTAAAAAACAAAATCCATCTATTTGCTGCCAATAAAAAACACATCTCACCAAAAAGATCCATACCAACTGAAAGTGAAAGAATGGAAAAAGGTATTCCATGTTAACAGAAACCAAAGAAGAGCTGGTGTAGCCATCCTAATATCAGACAAAACAGACATTTTTAAATAGTTAAAAGAGACTAAGAAGGGCACTATGTAATGATGAAGAAATCAATTCGACAGGAAGAAGTGATTAATATAAATGTATATGCACCTAATTACAGGGAACCTGGCTATTTAAAGTAAATATTAATGGATCTAAAAGGAGACATAAACTCCAATACAATAGTAATGGAGGAATTCAATACCTCTGTTTCAGCAATGGACAGATCACCTAGACAGAAAATCATCAAGGAAACAACAGAGTCAATCAACATTACAGACAAAATGGACCTAAAAGATACCTACAGAACATTCCACCCTACAGCCAGAGAATATACATTCTTCTCATTAGTGCATGGAAGTTTCTCTAGGATGAATCACATGCTGGCCATAAAGCAAGACAGCAAAAAATAATCAAAATCATACCATGCATCTTCCCTGACCACACAGAATGAAGCAGGAAATCAGCAACTCAGGAATATCTAGAACATGAAGAGATTAAACAACATGCTTCTGAATGAAGTGGGTCATAGAGGAAATCAAAAGAGAAATAAAAAAATTTCCAGAAACAAATGAAGATGATAATACAATACATCATAACTTATCGGGGGGCCGGCGCTGTGGCACAGTGGGTTAAAGCCTGGCCTGAAGCACCGGCATTCCATATGGGTGCTGGTTCTAGTCTTGGCTGCTCCTCTTCCAATTCAGCTCTCTGCTGTGGCCTGGGAAATTAGCAGAAGATGGCATAAGTCCTTTGGCCCTTGCACCCACATGGGAGACACAGAAGAAACTCCCGAATCCTGGCTTTGGATTGGCGCAGCTTCGGTCATTGTGGCCATCTGGGGAATGAACCAGCAGATAGAAGACTTCTCTCTCTGTCTCTACCTCTCTCTCTGTAACTCTGTCTTTCAAATAAATAAAAATAAATCTTTAAAAAAAGACACTTATGGGACACAGCAAAAGTAGTGTAAATAGGAGAGTTTATAGCAATTGGTGCATACATCAAATATTTGGAAAGGCACCAAACAAATGAACTATCAATGCATCTGAAGGACCTAGAAAAACAACAGCAAACTGAACCCAAAGCTAGTAGGATAAAAGAAATAATTAACATTAGAGAAGAAATAAAAAATATGAAAACAAAAAAATACAAAAGATAGCAAAACAAAGAGATGGTTCTTTGAAAAATAAACAAAATTCACATACTATTGACCCAACTAACCAAAAGGAAAGACCCAAATAAATAAAATTAGAGATGAAAAAGTTAATGTTAACAACAGACACAAAAGAAATAAAAAAGAATCATCAGAAATTACTACAAAAGGCTGTATGCCTATAAACTGAACCTAGAAGAAATGGATAGATTTCTAGACACATACAACCCACCTAACTAGTGCCATGAAGACACAGAAAACCTAAACAGACCCATAACCAAGACAGAAATTGAAGTAGTAACAAACACCCTCCTAACCAAAAGAAAAAAAAAAAAAAAGCCCAGGACTGGACAGCTTCACTGCTTAATTCTAACAGACATATAAACAACAACTAACTTCCAATTCTTCTCAAGTTATTCAAAACAATTGAAAAGATACAACAGAGAAATAAAGAATACTATAGACCAATTTTCCTGATGAACATAGACACAAAAAACCTCAGCAAAATATTAGCCAATTGAATCCAACAACACATCAGGAATATCATTCACCCAGACTAAATGGGATTTATCCCTGGTATGCAGGGATAATCAACATTCACAAATCAATCAATGTGATAAATCACATTAACAAATTGAAGTACGAAAACCATATGATTACCTCAATAGACACAGAGAAAGCATTTGATAAACTATGACAACCTTTCAGAATGAAAACTCTAAGCAAATTGGGTATATAAGGAAGATTCCTCAACAAAAGGAAGGCAATTTATGACAAACCCACTGCCAGCCTCCATTTGAATGAGGAAAAATCAGAAGCATTCTCACTGAGACCCAGAACAAAACAGGATGCCCACTCTCACCATTACTATTCAACATTGTCCTGGAATTTTTACCCAGGGCCATTAACTATACCTACCTGCAGATGATATGTGCCTATTAATAGGAAATTCAAAAGACTCCACAAGGAGACTATTGGAACTCATAGAAGAGTTTGGTAAAGTAACACAATAAAATCAACACACAAAAATCAACAGCCTTTATATACACAGACAATGCCACAGCTGAGAAAGAACTTCTAAGATCAATCCCATTCACAATAGCTACCAAAAATTCAAATATCCTGGAATAAATTTAACCAAGGATATCAAACCTCTCTATGA